CTATCCGCAGCCATGAAAGACTGGGGAGGGGAGCAGAAGAGTGAAGACGTGGAGAAGAGGGAGGAGGAAGGAAGTGATCAATGTAATGAGAGGACACGGGAGTAAGGAGACGGGTGGAGGGAGGGGAAGGAAGGAGGGAAGAATAAAGGAAGAACGGAAGGAAGCATAAAGGCAGGGAAAGAGGAACGGATCGAGGGTTGGCCGGAGTGAATGTGGGAGGGAGGGAAGGGAGAGAGAAGGGGAAGGAGGAGAGATGGCCTAGGAGGAAGAAAAGGAGGAAGAACGGGAGGGGAGCGGGGGGAAGGAAAGGGAGGGGGAGGGGAGGGAGGGAGGGAGGGAGGGAGGGAGGGAGGGAGGGAGGGAGGGAGGGAGGGAGGGAGGGAGGGAGGGAGGGAGGGAGGGAGGGAGGGAGGGAGGGAGGGGCGGAGGGAGGGGCAGAGGGAGGGGCGGAGGGAGGGGCGGAGGGAGGGAGGGAGGGAGAGAGGGAGGAGGAGGGAGGGAGGGAGGGAGGGAGGGAGGGAGGGAGGGAGGGAGGGAGGGAGGGAGGGAGGGAGGGAGTGAGGGAGGGAGGGAGGGAGGGAGGGAGGGAGGGGAGGGAGGGAGGGGCGAAGGGAGGGGTGGAGGGAGGGAGGGAGGGAGGGAGGGAGGGAGGGAGGGAGGGAGGGAGGGAGGGAGGGAGGGAGGGAGGGAGGGAGGGAGGGAGGGAGGGAGGGAGGGAGGGGCGGAGGGAGGGGCGGAGGGAGGGGCGGAGGGAGGGGCGGAGGGAGGGGCGGAGGGAGGGGCGGAGGGAGGGGCGGAGGGAGGGAGGGAGGGAGGGAGGGAGGGAGGGAGGGAGGGAGGGAGGGAGGGAGGGAGGGAGGGAGGGAGGGAGGGAGGGGAGGAGGGAGGGAGGGAGGGAGGGAGGGAGGGAGGGAGGGAGGGAGGGAGGGAGGGAGGGAGGGAGGGAGGGAGGGAGGGAGGGAGAGAGGCGGGGAGGAGGGAGGGAGGGAGGGAGGGAGGGAGGGAGGGAGGGAGGGAGGGAGGGAGGGAGGGAGGGAGGAGGGAGGGAGGGAGGGAGGGAGGGAGGGAGGGAGGGAGGGAGGGAGGGAGGGAGGGAGGGAGGGAGGGAGGGAGGGAGGGAGGGAGGGAGGGAGATGGCATAAATGGGAGATAAGGAGGTAGAACGGGAGCGGAAAGGGGCAAGCAAGTAAGAAAGGAAAGGAAGAGAGGGAGTGAGGGAGGGAGGGGCAGAGCGAGAGAGGAAACGAGGGATGAATTGGCGGATCGAGAGAGGGAGCGAGGGAGGGATTGGTGGAGGGAGGGAGGAGTGCCAAGAGGGGCAGGAAGAGAGAGCTGGAGGGAGGGAGAGTGGGAGTGTGAGTGAGTGAGAAGACAGGCGAAAGACAAGCGATATTCCACACAATGAGGTGGAGTTGTTCATAAAGTTTTGAATATACAAGAATGCGGGTAGCATGTACTCGTGTGCAAGCAACAGATGGGGTGATCAGCAGGTCAGCAGTGGGCGCAGGCAGCCTAGGCTAAGGACAGGGCAAGGCATGGGTAGTGGCAGCTGCACGCAGCAGCGGGAGAAGGCGCTATTGCGGGGCGTGCTCGCGGGTGCGGGCGGCGTCGGCAAGCTGTTTAGCGAGCACGGCGTTTTGGGTCTCGAGGGCGGCGCAGCGCATCTGCAGGGAGCGGATGTACACCACAGCGTCGTCCAGCATGGCGGACGTGTCTGTGCGCGCGTCCGTGCGCGGCATCACGTCCTTCAGCCGCTTCAGCCGCGCCGATATGCGCTCCCGCCGCATGCGCTCCGCCACGCTGCGCGGCTTCGTCGAATGCCTGCCCCGCCCCTTGCCTCCGGCCCCCCCTTTGCCGCCCTCCCCGTCCGCCTCCTCGTCCCCCCCCTCGCCCTCGCCGCCGTACAGCTCGTCTCCCCCTCCGCCGCCCTCCATGCCCTCGCCCATCCCTGCTGCCGCCCCGCCGCCCTCCTCCATGTGCGCGGCACCCGCTTCCATCCCGCCCTCCTGCCCGTCCCGCGCTGCTCCATCCTGCCCGCCCGCCGACGCCACCTCGTAGCCCTGCTCGCCGCTCGACCCTCTCGAGTGCGACCCTCTGCCTGCCGACTCCGCGGATCGCACGCCCCCTCCCACTCCGCCGCGCGCTGACCCCAGCGGCAAGGGCGCAGCCCCGCCAAGCGGAGTGGTGGGCAGCGAGCGTACGCGCAGCTGCGCCATGTCGCTCGCGAGCCCCGTGGGGCTCGCGGCTATGGCGGACAGAACGCGGCTGCCGCCGGGGCTGCGATATCCGTCGGATCGCGGGCTCTTGAGCGCGGGGGACAGCGGCCACCGCGCTGCGCCGCCTGTCATGCCCGCCTCGGCCTCGCGCTTGCCCGTGCTGAGGGGGGGATTGCCGCCGGTGGCAGCGGCGAGGCGGGAGACGGCGGAGGGGCGCGCGTTGGCCAGCGAGCTGGAGAGGTCGGGCAGGCCCCGCCGGGAGCGCAGGCTCGACTGCGCGCCGTGAGCGGCGGACCCCAGCAGCGGCACGGGGCGCTCGCCCGTCGTGAGCTGCGGTCGAGATCGAGCGTTGACTTGCGGCGAGACGGGCGGAAGCGCAGATCGACCGTCCAGGCTGTGGCTCTGGCTCAGGGTGGCGCGGCCGCTTCCCGGCGGCGCAGAGCCGTTAAATCCACCCACCGTGTGCTCCGCCGCTGCACCCGCCGCGCCTGCTGCGAGGAGCTGCGCTGTGCTGTCCGCAGCCACCTGGGGCAGCTGTGCTGGCTGCGACTCGAGTGGTGACGACGTGGTGAGCGCGGTAGTGGTGGCGGTGGTGGTGGCGTCGAGCGCGGTGAGCATGGCCTGCAGCGACGGCATGTCGAGACCCGCCGACAACAGCTGCAGCAGCAAATCCCGCGACACGCCCGACGACGCCACGTCACCGCCGTCCATGCCCACAGCGCCGCAACCAGCGGCCCCGCCAAACTCATTCGTCGCAGCAGCGTTGACGGGCGGAGCGACTAGCTGTGACGCTTCGGGGAACCAGAGCCCATCGCGAGCCCCAAGCGGCCACGCGGGCTCGCCTGGCAGCGTCGCGAAGTCCATGGCGCCCGCAGGCAGTTGCGAGAGGTCCGCCGCAATCGGAGGTAAGAATACCGCGGCGTCGCCGCGTCCTGCTGCGCACTGGTCCGCCCTGAAAGACGGCTCTATACCTGCATTGAGCGGAACCCTAAACTGGTCTTCCTGCGCCTGCTGAAGCTGGGAGAAGTCCGATGGCTGGAACTGCATGACGTCTCACCGAAGCGGGAGCTCGCTATATCTACTACGTGTCCTGAGCAAAGAATTGCTTCCAAACAAATGCTCTTCTAGACAGGACATGTCCGAGGTGTTTCGAGTTGAGGGTAGGTAACACCAACCATCCATCAAGAAAGCTTCCCTGCTGAGTGACAACCGTTCTGAGGTGGGGTGGGGAGACAACCCTCCTCTCACCCAGTTCTGCCTTGGTGGTGGTTGTTCCCTGCTGGCCAGCGTTGACTCGCGCCCGCCCACCCCACCGCCCATCCGTCGTCCTCTCGGTCCCCCGCGCCCCCAGCCAAACCAATTCGCTCGCTTTCAGTTGGTCTGGCTGGAGGGCTCAATCTCTGTGCTGGCAGGTTTGGTTTGGCCGTAGCAGTGCACCCTGCCTTCGACCCTTCCTGGTTTTGAGGGCTGGCTGCCGCTCAGGCTCTGGTGGTGGGGCCGGGGCAGGCGATTTGTATTTCAGATATGGCGGTTTTTCCCGCTAGATGGATATTCCCACCCTGCAAAACCGGGGTCTGGAAAATGAGCCGCGGTGTCATCACGTGTATCCCAGCAGGTCCCGCTTCAGTTTCAAATTCAAGTCCTGGTCCTGGTGATGGCATCCTCCTTGACGTGTTTGGATGTGTAAGTGTCGAGAACTCTGACAAAACCTTGGATGTGAATGCTTTCTGAAAAAGCCGTAGGGCGGTTCAGATTTCCCCTTCTGGGAATCTGCAAACACCAATCTAAAACATTTCGTAAAATACTACTTAACTGACGAAACTCAGCACGGCGAGCTTCACAAGTACAGGTCCGGGTGTGAAACCTACCACGATTCCCTTAAACAAGCCACCCGCCAATAGGGGAACTATTCCTGACCTGCTGATTTAGCAGGGTGAGCCTGAGTGAACTCGGATCTGGAAGGGTCATCCAAAACTCACTTGAGAATCCTCATCAGAACCTATGCCGGGAAACTATATAAGAGATCATAATTATGCCCGTTTTATCACGTTTGGTCACAGGGATATCACAAACAGTCATAGTACAGTAGATTTTTATCGCAGGTGATCACAGTGCCATCACGGATGGTCACACCTCCCCCCGAAAAGCTATCACCTTTGGTCACTCGATGAAACGATCATAATTAATTTGAAACCACGAAAGAAACAGTAGAATTTTTGGGGAATCCCAACCTTGATTGCTTGTTACCTCGCGCATTATTCTAGCCCTGACATTTAGGGAATTGAATAAAAAAATTAAACCCCTATTGGATGGCACGTCCTTCGGGAGGCATCAACCCTAAACACTATGCGACAAGGTGTTTAGGGCTGATGCTTCCGAATTATATCCCATCCGAACGGGTTTTAGTTTTTGTATTGGGAACAAAATTAACCTTAGAGTTTCACCCGTCAAAAAGTGATATTTTTAGGAACATTACGCATCGATCGAGCAGTGGACATTCGAATAGTAAAGAAGAAATTGCAGATGTTTTTAACGAGTTACCGAAAGTTGTCGCGAAACTTTTTCGTGATACTACGGACAAAAACGGCACGCGCGATAAATTTTCTCCTGAATCCCTACAGTGACTCGAGTAGTTACAATTCTCGATTGGGCGTTTCATCTGTGTCAAACGTGATAGAATTATGGGGCAGGGTGTGACTATCCGTGATAGCACTATGATCACACGCGAGGGTTACGAGGTGTACTGTGACTGTTTGTGATACCCCCGTGACTAAATGTGATAACTGCGCCTAATTGTGACTACCCATATAATTTCCCATTACAGGGTTTCGTTTGTAGCTGTTCTGATAGCGTTTGCGACTCTCCGTTGTATGTACATCCGTGATTTTATTACGAACACTTGTGAGACCCCTTAGCCCACCAGAATAAAATATGTTTGGAATCCATGAAGGCAGGAAACAATAATACAGCAAACATTGTTAGAGTGTGGCGTCACTGATTTCCAAGGTTCGGAACGCGGCTTGTCAGTAATAGCGTGGTGGTAGAGGTTCGGACATGGCCTAGACTGTTCAAGTAGTGCAGACGAGGTGCAAGGCATTGGCAGGACAGCAGTAAGCTCAGTTGGTTGTCGCGTGTGATTCTAACGGGATTTAGCCCGCCATTCGGTGAACTGCATGTCGACGGTGACCGCGGAGCTGCTTTCTCCGCCACCGGAGTCGCAAGCCCCGCCGGCCATGAAGCGCCCGCGAGGCCGCCCGCGCAAACACCCGCCCAAGGAACCCGCGCTTCCAAAGCGCAAGCGCGGACGGCCGCACAAGGACTCGGGGGTGCAGGAGGTGCGCGGCGGGCGGGTGGCGGAGGACTCGAGCGTGCCGAAGCGGGGCCCGGGACGGCCGCCGAAAGACCCGACGCTGCCAAAGGGACGGCCGGGGCGGCCACCTAACGACTCAGCTTCACCAAAGCGAAAGCCGGGACGGCCGCCTAAAGACCCCAGTCTGCCTCGACGAAGCCCCGGTCGGCCGTTGGGCAGCACGGCGGGTCGGAGCGAGTCGCGTGCCGCCCCCAGCTGTGCGTGCGCCCCTCCCACCTCCGGCCTTGCTGCTTGCTCGCCCTGCTGCTCGCGAACCTCTCTGCTTTGGCTGCTGCCTTGCTGTGACTGCTGTTCCCTGCCCCAGTGCGACAGCTTCATGCCTGCTCCCGCTCCCTGCTCCCTGCTCCCTCCTCCTTGCCGTGTGTGCAGCGCTGGAGCCGAGAGTCCTCCTGGTTCCAAGTGGCGAGGTATGAGAGGGGTGGGGGTCGAGGCCTGTGGGACTTTTCCAAAAGTGGCTGTTGAGAATGCCTGGTTAGAGCCCTCTTTGTCTCTGTTAGTCATTGCCTCTCCATTTTCGCTCACCTGTTGTTTACTCGGGAATGGGAAGGGCAGGGGCCCTATTTATACGAGCAGAGCAGAGCAGAGCAGCAGCAGATGGCATCGTAGAGAGGAGGGAGGAGGCTAGCGCAGTGGAAAGCGAGTGGGAGGGGAGGGGCGTACAGAAGCATGGATGAAGTCGCCTGTCATGCCTGTGTCCACCGTGCCGCAATCACTCGTCCTCCCCTGGGTGGGTCCTCCCGTGGGTGGGTCCTCCCGTGGGTGGGTCCTCCCGTGGGCGTGCCCTCTCATGGGCGGGGCACAGGACGTAGCAGCGCGGATATTCGAGTTGTCACGCGAGGAGGGCAGGGCGGTGTGTGTGCTCTCCGCCAATGGCTCCGTCCTCCCGCCCGCCCTCTCTGGCCCCGCCACCGCCCTGCCTGCCACACCACTTGCGGTGGGTCATAGCAGCACACGATATGGGGTGGGTCATAGCAGCACACGACATGGGGTGGGTCATAGCAGCACACGACATGGGGTGGGTCATAGCAGCACACGACATGGGGTGGGTCATAGCAGCACACGACATGGGGTGGGTCATAGCAGCACACGACATGGGGTGGGTCATAGCAGCACACGACATGGGGTGGGTCATAGCAGCACACGACATGGGGTGGGTCATAGCAGCACACGACATGGGGTGGGTCATAGCAGCACACGACATGGGGTGGGTCATAGCAGCACAGGACATGGAGTGGGTCATAGCAGCACACGACATGGGGTGGGTCATAGCAGCACACGACATGGGGTGGGTCATAGCAGCACACGACATGGGGTGGGTCATAGCAGCACACGACATGGGGTGGGTCATAGCAGCACACGACATGGGGTGGGTCATAGCAGCACACGACATGGGGTGGGTGAGGGAATGCCATGCATGGCATGGGTGGTTAAGAGCGTTTTTGTGGTGTGGGTTTGGTGGTTGAGATGGAGAGGGAAGTTGAGAGGCAGGAAGCAAAGGGTGTTGAGTGTGGCTCGTGTGCGTGTGTGCGTGCGTGCGTGCATGCATGCAGGGAGCACTGGACGTGGTGTCGCTGTCGGGCTCATACGTGCCGGACGACCCCACTGACGCCTCCAGCCGCATGGGAGGGCTCACTGCCACCCTTGTGGGCGCCGACGGCCGTGTGCTGGGGGGCACTGTGGCCTCCCCTCTACTCGCCTTCTCCACCGTGCAGGTCAGCCTCTCCCTTTCTCTACACTGAACGGGGGGTGGCTGTCGGTTGTTGCAGCTTGCACAGTGCGCTCAGATCTTGGCAGCATGTGTCACACACACGTGCTGATGCACGCACACTCAAATGGTTGGCGATTGCTAAGTCCAACCATTTCTGGTTTCGGCGTCGTTGTCCTCAGAGCAGCGCCTTCATCCCTGCATTGCACCTCTCTCATACTGACTGCTTTTGGCGCTCCATGCTCACTGCAGGTCACGGTTTTACTCTTTATGGTTCAACCAATGGGCGCCTGACATCTGCCATCTACATCCCCTACACCGCCTGCATGCCTCTAGTCAGGTTCAAAATGTAGCTATGCAAGTTTGTAGCATGTTTAGTGTTCTTAGATTGAGTCGCACTAGCTGCAGTGCAATGTAGTGTAGAAGCACACTTACAAGGCTAACTTTTATCAAGGCACCACATGAATTCCTTAGGCAGCTGTGTGCAATGTGTGCTGTGTTCTCCTGCCATTAGGCAGCTCACACATGCTTCATAAAATGGGGAGTCTCTCTAAACTACGGTTCTGACTAAAAGCTGATCGTCTCGCTGTTGCTCAGCACCAGGGGGGATGCGCATGCTGCACGAGTAGATTTGCTAATGGTAGCCCAGTAGGGCCGGCTACAGCAGACTGTCTACAAGCTTGGTTGCCGTGTTGTGAGCCGTGCGGCGGGCTGGAGCCGCCTGCGTGTTGAGCACGGCCCCAGCACGACCGGTATTCATGGCTCAGGCTGTTGATGGTGGTCCGTTGCACCAATGGTGGCAGCGGCAGAATTGGCACGCATTTGCATGGCAGTATAGCGCCTTATAGACATGTGAATGAGTGGCAGCAGCTGGTGTGTATGTTGGGGCGTGCAAGCAGGCGGTGGGGTGGCAGAGAGGGAGCAGCGGCGGCAGAGGAGAGCGAGGGGGGCAACACAAGATGGACTGTGAGGTGCCACAAGATGCATTGGCGGGCACCCTGGGTGTCACAACGTCAAGCCAATGCTGACACCATACAGGGTGGGTAAGTGGCAGCAGCATCAGCGGTGGGTGGGTGGAGGGAGGGGCATGAGGGGCATCAGCGGTTGGACCAGATGAAGTCGACATCGATGGTGCGCTGCGTGCCGTCTCGGTTGCCCTCTGGCTGCAGCACGTACGTCCCGGACACCATCCCCAGCGCCACCACCCGGTCTATCTGTATCGTCGCCTTGCCCAGTGAGCTCTGCCATCACTCACTCACTCACACACACACACACACACACACAGCACACACACACACACACACAGCACACACACAGCACACACACACACACACACAGCACACACACAGCACACACACACACACACAGCACACACACACACACACACAGCACACACACACACACACACACACACACACAGCACGCCCAACACACCACAGTGCACAGAAGTCAAGGGAATGAGACACGGAGCATGCTGGAAATGGAACACACGTGGAGCAGCCCACACCGGGGCACATGAGTGCAGCAGTTGGTAACTCACGGTGCCGATGGTGCCCTTGTTCTTGCACGAGATGTGGAGGTTCTGCCCGCGTGGAGGGGCGTCCAGCGGCCATGTGAAGGTCTGCTTCCACTCGGGGTCACACGTGCCGCTCACCACCTGCCATGCCATGGAGGAGCACACACCACATCCCACACCACACACAACACGGCCCAACAAACTAAGATGGCAGATCAAGCGTTCAGAGGGTTACGGTGAGAGCAGAGACAATTGCTGATTACAGTGCTCCTATTGTGATTGCTCCAGAACTAACCCCATCACCAGCATCCCCATACCCCACGTGCCCCGCCCGCTGCCCCTGGGCGTCGCGCCGTGTGCAGTGAGTGACTGACCTTGGTGACCTTGGCGGGGGTGTCGGCGAGCGTGAGCTTGCAGTAGGCGTTGGTGGTGCCCATGGACGCCTTGAGGTTGGAGCCGCGCTTCACACACACCGACAGGCTGCCCGGCAGCACGGACAGCAGCGTCTCCGCCTTCTCGTACAGGTTGATGGGGCCGGAGCGCAGCATGAGCTGCAGCACGGGGATGGTGTCGCCCATGGCGATGGACTGCAGCCGCGCCATCTCCTTGCTCTGCGCCCACCCCTGCCGCAGCAGCCACAGCACGTTCAGTGCCGTCTCCTGCGCCACCTCGCTGCCCACCTTCATGGCGCCCACCAGCACGGGGATGGCGGCCGTGGCGCACTCGCTGAAGCGCAGGCGGGAGAAGGTGGCGAGCAGCCCCTCGATGGCCTGCAGCACCTCCTCGTTCACACTCGCCGTCTTCCACAGCTCACGCTCGATCACGCCCGTCATGGACGACACCAGCTCCGGCGTCGCGTACTCCTGCACCGTGTGGTTGTTCAGCATCAGCCGCACCAGGTTGGCGGCCTGCGACGTCACCTCCGCCGACCCGCCTGTCAGCAGCTCCACCAGCACGCCGAACCCGCCCGCGTCCGCCACGGCGCGCTTGTTGGCGCGCGACGATGCCACCAGGTTCTGCAGCCCGCACAGCGCCACCATCACCAGGTCCTCACTCGCGCGCTCCGCCATGAGCGCCACGAGTGCGCGGCACGCGCCCGTGAGGTCCACCGTCTTGAGCGCCACGCTCGTCTCCTGGAAGAGGTCGCCCAGCGCCAGCGCCGCCAGCAGCTTGGCGTTGGGGTCGGCGGAGTTGGGGTCCAGCAGGTACGACGCCAGCGGTGCGATGGAGCGCAGCGCCGTCTGCGAGTCCCTCACGCGCGCGTTGTTGAAGATGGCCTCCAGCAGGCGCGCCGCCGCCTCCTCCACCTGGTGGCAGCGCAGCAGCTCCAGCAGCGCGTCCACCACGCCCATGCGCGCCATCTCGTCCCCCCGCGCCGGGTCCTCGCGCTCCAGCGCCAGCAGCGCGGAGAGCGCGACGACCTGCACGGGCTCGGTGTTGGCCATGAGCAGGCGCACGAGCACGGGCACGGGCACCTGCGCCGCGCACTTGTCATGCGCGCGCAGCACGTTCGCCAGCACCGTCGCCGCCATCTGCCACATCGGGTGCGGCGCCGTCGCCACCAGGCGAGACAGCTCGTCGATGCCGCCCGCCTCCACGATGGCGCCCGGCCAGCAGGCGGACACGAGTTCGAGCGCCTTGAGGGCCTCGGTGCGCAGCGACTCCAGCTCGCTGCCCAGCAGCCTCACCAGCGGGGCCGCGGCGGCGGCGGTGATGCCGTCGCTGTGGAAGGCCTCCAGCGTGAGCACGTGCGCCAGCAACCCCGCCGCCAGCTGCGCCACCACCAGCGACGGCGAGAGCAGCAGCGGCACGAGCGGCTCCATGGCGTCGCTGGGCGGCAGGTCGAGCGCCTCCAGGCGGCCGGGCTTCTCCAGCACGTTCACCAGCGCCTGCAGCGCACTCGTCTGCGCCGCAGGGGACAGCTCCGCGTGGCGCAGCATGGCGAACACGGGCCCCACGAGGCGCGCAGCGGCGGCGCCCTTGGCGATGGTGGAGTTGTTGGTGAGCACGCGCAGCAGCTCCGCCAGCAGCGAGCAGAGGGCGAGCGGCGCGGAGGGGAAGATGGCGATGATGCGCTCGATGACGCCCGCCGCCGCCATGTCCAGCTTGCACTGCCGCCGGTCCTTGGCCAGCTTGAACAGCGCACTACTGGCCGCCGCGTGCAGCCCGTGCCGCTCGCCCTCCAGCAGGCTCACGAGCGGCGCCACGGCGCTGCATGAGGCCACCACGTTGGCCTGCTGCTCGTCGTCCATCACCGCGTCCACGGCGCCCGCCGCACGGTACTGCAGCGACGGCGACGGGTGCAGCAGCAGCACCACCAGCGGCGGGATCAGCGCGGCGGCCACGGGGCCCGAGCGAGCGCGAGGGAAGGAGAAGAGCGTCTGCAGCAGCTCCACCGCCGTCGCCTTCACCTCCGCCGCCGCCTTGTCGTACCCGCCGCTTCCGCCAGCTGGCTGATTGTCGGGCGCCTCAAGCAGGCGCTGGATGGTGGCCATGAGGGGGATGCCGCCCTCCTCGCACGCCTGCAGCACGCGCCCCACGTTGCCCTGCGCCAGCTGGCACAGCGCCGCCGCTGCCGCCCGCTGCTCCGCCTCCACAGCGCCGCCTCCAGCAGCCCCGCCAGCAGCCTCCGCGCCCGCCCCGCTGCCCAGCATGTCGACGAGCGGGTGCAGCGCGTGCAGCGCCGCGTCGCTGGCGCGGTGCGCGTCCACGGCGAACAGCGCCTCCAGCGCCGATGCTGCCGGCAGGCGCGCGGCGCGGGAGCCCACGCGGAGCACGGCGACGAGCTGGTCCATGGCGGCGGGCGCGGCGGCGTGCACGCGCAGGTCGTCCGCCTGGAAGAGCACCCGCAGCAGCTCCACCGCCGCCGCCTCCATCGCCTCCTGCACGGGGGAGAGGGGAAGTAAGGGCGCGTGGGGTTGGATGGGCATTGGGGAATGAGTGATGAGGGGGTGCGGAGGCAGCAGCACAGGTGAGGGTGGAATGTGCGAAGCTCGAGGATATCAAGCAACAGGGGGGAGGCAACGCAAGGGGGGAAGCGCGCGGCGCACCTGCGGGCCGAGCGTGAGGTACGTGGTGAGCGCCTCGAGGATGCGGTAGTCCGCCATGGCGACGCGGTTCGCGCTGCTGCCGGCCGCGAGCTGCGTGAGCAGGCCGATGGCGACGGCGGGCGCGCTGGGCTGGTCGGCGTTGGGCGTGAGCAGCGCGATCAGCTGCGGCACCACCACGCTGCCGTGGCGGCCCGCGCGGATGTCGTCGCAGCGGAAGAGCTTCTCCAGCGCCACCTGCTCCGGGCTGCCCGCCAGCTCGAAGTCGTCCGCCAGCGCGCGCAGGTGCGCCACGTCCGCCTCCGCGCGGCCCAGCAGCGCGAGCAGCAGCGGGATGGCGCCGCTGTTGGCGATGGCGAGCAGCGTGCCGCGACTGCCGCTCGCCACGAGCGACGCGACGGCCTGCGATGCAAAGTAGCGCTGCGAGGGGTCGGGCGAGGTGAGCAGCGAAGCGAGCGGCGGAATGGCCCT